TTCAAACCCTGGTCTCCCACTCCCAACTCTCAACACTCTACCCATTGCCCTATTGGAGGCTTGTTGTGAAATGAGCTGCGCATTGCACAACAACAACCGTGATGGCTTTTTATACTGAGGAGGTGGAGTCTCATCCGGGGGTTGCTAGGTAAGGGGCTGAACGCAGGTTCTTTATTTATGTTTATACTCTCACTTACTGAGCCCCTAAAGGGACATGGATTGGGGGGGAAAAACTATCTTGTTCCCACAAGTTACTAAGTCGTGCGCACGAGTTAGTATCTCGTTCCCACGAGTTAAGTGCGCACGAGATACCCCACAGGATCTTTCAGATCGTTTTGGACTAGCTGTGTGTTCACTGAAATGGAAATGTGTGACATAATTGAGCCTTATTTCCAGTTTGGCCTGAAATACAAACACCGGGCCGCGTTACTTGTTCTCCGATTGGTACTGCAGCTTGGTGACTGTCTCGGAGCCTTTCCACCCATGGTTCCTGGATGTTTACGGTTTCCTTGACAACGGCGTAGTTTTACTAAAGCTATCCAGCTGAAAATAAATAAAATCCAGATTAAACATTTAGGAGGTCTACCACCTAGGCTAGAAGGCACAATATGCCTGATAATATGAATGTAGGCACAGTGAGTGTAGATCCTCTGGGAGCTGAAGCGGTCGGCTCGCTGTCATCGTTTGATTGGGGAAAGCACACGATCTCCTGCATTGAGATCCAGGCTGTAGCAACGAGGCTTCACAAGACAGCAGATCTGTGGCATTACACATCACATCACACTCATCAGCTTCATCTTTACGCACGGAGCAAGTCTACATATAAAGGAGGCGGTGTCTTATTGAATCTAAAATAAATAAAAAATTCCCATTACTGACATCTTACTGACATCTCACAAAAGAATGTTAACAGTTGGCCTAAAATTCCTTATTGTCTGCATTGTTATGGTAATATTTATTTAACAAAGACAGAAATACATGGTCCAAGAATGAAGGTACTCCGTGGAAATGATCAGCTGAGTTTTATTGCAACAACAGGAAACACAGAGAACAACTGCCCTGTCTCTGTGTCTCTGCTTTCTCTCTCACTGTCTCTGTCTGTGCCACTTGAGAGGCCTCATATATATATATTGTTTAACAAACAATATTGTCATCTTAGCAAGATTTGATACGTCAAAGGAAAACACATAGATAAACACAAGTGATATCTAAGAATGACTGTTGTTAGCAAATCTTGTTCTGACTTTAATCATTCTGTCTGCAGATGAACAGCATGTCATGAAAACCTAGGTCATTAAAGGATGTCATGAATTACTGGCTTAAACATAAAAGTATTAGTTCTAGGACAACTCCCCTCCTCTTGAT